CCCTGTTCTCTTTCTCTCTCTCTCTCTCTCTCTCTCTCTCTCTCTCTCTCACAGGATCACTAAACATTAACCCCAAAACTTTGTTAATCTGTAATGGATTGTGTGTGTGTGTGTGTGTGTGTGTGTGTGTGTGTGTGTGTGTGTGTGTGTGTGTGTGTGTGTGTCCATCCACACATGTTTCAGTTGTGTAAGGTTAGTTGACAGCAGTGACCTTCATATATTCACTGCTCATAAATATCCTTTTATCTAGAGAGAGAGAGAGAGAGAAACGGAGAGACAGAACTCTGCTGCTATCTCTGCTGCTATCAGTGCTGATGGAGGTATGGATGGACTGTGTATGTGTGTGTTAGAAAATGATTTTGTGGCTTATAGGCTGCATATTCATCTGTGTATGTGTGTGTTAGAAAATGATTTTGTGGCTTATTGGATATATATTCTTCTGTGTGTGTGTGTGTGTGTGTGTGTGTGTGTGTGTGTGTGTGTGTGTGTGTGTGTGTGCGTGCGTGTGTGTCTGGCGATTCGTTTCAGAAGTTTGTCCTCAGACATACAGTACATCTGTCTCACTTCCTCTTGCATCTCACATTTATGTGCGGGTTGTCACATGAGCTCTTGCCTTTCTACATCTTAACACACACAACCAACCACCCACCCACCCACACACACACACACACACACACACACACACACACATACACAGATCTCTTGGCTTAGCTCTCTCACACACTGCAGTCTCACTCTGATTACATAAGGCTGGCCTTTAGTCTTAATCCTAGCATCAGTGAGGTCATAATCAGAGTGTGTGAGTGTTTTCTCATTCAGCTTTGTCAACTATCACCATCGACCACAAAGCTTATACAGAAATGCCAGACTCACAACAGCTTTCGTTACGACAGCATTTTCTCTTTAACATTTGTTTATGGAAGTTCGATAGCTTAAGGGCTAGCTTAAGTGCGAGATGAAAATTCTGTTATTCAGTTCATCTTAAATATATTTTTCAAGGAAGCAAAATGGAGGACATTTAGAGCATCATGCTCTAAACTATTCACACTAACAGACTTTTTAACATTATACGTTTTATGTTTTGATAAAAGTTCGGATTGCAGGGTTTCCTAATTGCGACCTATTTGCGCATGTGCTGCAGATTAATTTGAGCCATAAACTGTTATCTCGTGCATGGTACGGATCAGGCATCATCATCACCACTACCCGATCGTGTTGTTGCTCAGGTTGTACGTAGTACAGCCGGATGGTATGGTTTGATAATGAAGCCTCGTTATTACCTGCCAATTCCCACCAGTCAGCCAGTTTTTCCCTATCACATAACAGCTAACAGCAAGGGAGGGTGAAGACTATCATGTGCTTCCTACAATAATGTTCTGGCTATGTATTCTTCATCCAAGATGCATGAAGTCAACCACATCGTTTTGAAATGCTGCTCATGCTGCTTCGCAGGTCAGTGTAACACTCCGAGGAAAGCACTATCTGCCCTCTTCCACATACATGAACTCACAGGCATCCATGATTGGCTAGTGTTGCTCTGACTGACAGGGGACAGAGATAATGCCATTCATCCCAGCCAGAGATGATCAGAGATGAAACCTGCGATCTCTTGGCAATAGAGTGAATGCTCTTCTGTTGCACCATTCGGGAGCCGCTGTTGCATAACTTAGACATTGCACCGTATGCCCAATAAAAGCCTGTTATAGGCTATATTCACATTGCTGATTTGAAGTTTGTATTAATGCCTTTATGTGGCACAGGTCCGATGTTTTCAGGACTATGAGGACACAGAAATTGGATCTTTTCAAATAAGACCTGAGCCACTTTCTTATGGTCCTAGATCAGATTCATATCCGATAAGTGTCCATGTGACTCGGAATTCATGTGAACACCATCATCTAGTGTTGACGGCATTTCAAAACAGCACTGCAGGACAGCAAGAGCAGTGACTCCACACGTTCAGTGGAAGGATGCGGAAATTGGTGATTTACTTCATATACTGTATGGAGAATCGATTCAAGCAAATCCATGTGGATTCCATGTGAGCATTCAAGAACCATTCAGATAGACAGATCCAATCTGAGCAAATGAAGCTTGCAATGCTAAGAACAGTTTTGCACTCAAGTCTTCATCACTGAACAGTTGATAACGTCAACACAATAGACTTTAAGTTAAAACTCGAATCAATTCAGAAGTGACTCTGATGCTCATGTTTGTTTCCTGTTTGCACAATTGCACTTTTTGACTATTTAGTATACATCCGGTGTCACCCAGATGAGGATGGGTTCCCTTTTGAGTCTGGTTCCTCTCAAGGTTTCTTCCTCATACACTGCTATACAAATAAATAAATTGAGTTCATGTGAACATAGAGCCATAGAGTCAACCACGAAAAGAGTGACTTATATGTAAATTGCATACTTTAAGCCAGGGGTTCTCAAACTTTTCAAGGACCCCTTTAACGGTAAAATAATTTCCACTGTTTAGGAACACTGGGTGTGAGGAGGGAATATCGACTGGATGGAACACAAGTTGATCGTAGGGCATCCTGCACAACACGCACATTCACACACTCAGTCACACACTCATGCACACCTAGGGGCAATTATCATAGCAGTACACTTACTGGCAAGTTTTTGGGAGGTCGGAGGAACCCAGAGAACCTGGAGGAAACCCACCCAGACACGGGGAGAACGTGTGAAACTCCAAACAGCGAGTAACCTGAGCTCAGGATCGAACCGGAGAACCTGGAGCCGTGAGGCGACAGCGCTACCTGTCTGTTTTTTTTTTTTAAAAACATAAATATATAACACAAAAATAATATGAAAAGTCAGTTAGCGAAATTCCTTCACTAACTTTTTTTTTTTCTTTTGCACTTTTCACTAAAGCCCAAAGGCTACGTTTTAAACGTACACCTTGTTTAAACAAGACAAGGCTTTCTTAGAGTGCTTGTTTCATATTTTATTACCCTTTACACAGAATTTGCTAAGCTGCATGTTTAGCCGGTGTGTATAAAGTCCTGCTTTAGTACATACCGACTCGTTAAACTTTTTATACCATGTACTGAAAAGAGACTACTGTATTCAATCTTTATTTCTATTTATCTTTCTTTCTCTATGCATCTTAATCACTCTTTGTGTCAGTGTTGCACAATATTTATAATGGTCTGAAGTGAGAATGAGTAAACGACTGACAGAGAAAGAGAGAGAGAGAGAGGAAGAGAAGAGACAGGAAGTAACTGTCTGGTGTGACCCTGATGTGAGCACAGATTCTCATCCTCAAATCTGTGGGTCTGAGTTGTGTGTTGTTGTATATATATATATGTGTGTGTGTGTGTGTGTCTGTTTTAAATATGTGTGTGTCTAGACGCTAGAGAATCTGCAGTTACCTCGGACCCAACTGATGTCTTTTCTCTCTCTCTCTCTCTCTCTCTCTCTCTCTCTCTCTCTTTCGTCCAGGTTTCACTGTGCTTCTCTTCAGTCGCTCCTCGTACATGGTAACACAGGACTGAAGACAAGCGGTAAGTCAGCAGTCAAGTGTGTATGTGTGTCTTTTAGTTGCGTATGGAACAACCGAAAATATATAAGAGGAAACAGAAGCGTTTGAGTGAAATAGAAAGTGATAGTAAGATAGTGAAATAGCCGGGCACCCCTGAGCTCGGGTTTTCTGCAAGAAGAGAGCCGGTTCGGCTAGCAGACCACTGCAGGCCACAACATAGCATCGACTGGAAACGGCTGCTTGCCTGTGTGGTTAGTTAACTGGAAATTCACAGTTCACATGTCTGTGTTTTCATACAAATAACACGCACATACCTGCGAGTGTACATACGTGTGTGTGTGTGTGTGTGTGTGTGTGTGTGTGTGTGCGTCTGTGTGGTTACTGGAAATCGGTGGTTTGTGTTTTATGTGTAGAAGTGGTAGTATTGCTAGGAAATTGTGTGTGTGTATATGTATGTGTGTGTATTGTGTATCACACTGACAGTGGTAATACGGGACAGGAAGAGGCGGAGCTATGCATGTGGTTAAGTTCCTGCTTTACACTGCCATATTTGCTAGTTTCCTTTTTGAATGAAAGCCATGTGGCTGAGTCGGTGGATTTTTTTTTTTTTTTTTTGATTGATCAGCGCATTGACTTTGAGAATAAAAGCACTAGTTGCAAAAAAAAAAAGTTAAATATTTTTTTTGTATTTTTGAACAGAACAGTCATAAAGCTAAAGTATTCCACTTCCAGTTAACGTTCACATCACGGTTTCAGTGTGATGTGTCACATTCGAGTTAATTTGGGTTTTGCTGTGCTTCATATGCTGAAATGACTTTCATCCACGTCTCAAGAGAAATATCACTCCAGTAAATTGTCTACGACCTGAAACCGTGGGGTGATTTCACACTTTTGGTTTGTTCTTCTTCAGAAAAATTGCTAACTGGGGCAACTTTTTGGCTGATGTGAAAAAAAAGTAACCATAACAACACAAATCCTAGCTAGTAGGCTTTAGTAGGTTTTAATATAGATTTTTCCCTGATTGTGAGTTTTTACATTTTAAGATATCGCAGTGTATAAACAATGTAATCGTTCAGACCGTCGGTCTGAAAAAGACAGGAAAATGAACATTTCCATCATTTCAATGTAAAGAGTGTAGGAGAGGGTGTGATAATATTAGCTGTGCAGTTGGGAACTGGGGCAATTTTAGGGTGTTTCTGAAGTAGTGTGCACTACGAGGAAAAAAAAAAAAAGACATGACAGTAAATTTTCAGTGTAATCCTGTGATAACTAGGAGTCTAAAGTCTGAAGTCCACATGGCTGACATTTTGACTGTTTTGGAGCATCTGCAGTAACCAGAGCATGAGAGAGCAGGAAAGTGGCTGTAAAATAAAAAACAAAACAAAACAACAACAACAAAAAAAGAGTTGTAATCACTTTCGAATTATCGTCACTATGTTAAATGTTACACTGAATTTTTTTTTATTTTTTATTTTTTTTGCACCTTTACAAATGCATAAATGAAGTCCCTGGAGGACTAGTGGCTAGCCCACAGCGCTTTCACCGCTCCAGCCCAGGTTCAATTCCCAGCCAGGGAACCAACCTCAGCCACTGGGGTTGCATGCAACAGTGCGCTCTCAGTGCCGGTCCCAAGTCCGGATAAAATTGGCGAGGGTTGCGTCAGGAAGGGCATCCAGCGTAAAACTGTGCCAAATCAAATAAGTGGACCAATGATCCACTGTGGCGACCCCTAACAGGAACTACAACAAATGCGTAAAAGTTGTTAAAGGGACAATAATATCGTTATATCGCACAAGCCTAGCTAATATCGGATAACCTACTAGCCTAACTTAGAATGGAGATTAGTTTTATTATTATCAGTAATAACTATGAACTCTGGTGATGAGGACGTTGTATAGCCTTCGCTGTAGCTTTGGAGAAGGAAAATCAGGAGAAGAGTTGTGTTTAACTGTCACTTTGTCCTCCGCGTTCGTTTTTCTCGCTTGCCTTACAGCTTGCGACCGGATTGGTCAGGAGGTAAACAAGTGTAAAATGTTTAAAGTGCTCTGCTGTGAGAATAATAAAACAACAAAAATCAGCACAGCTGATGTCAAATAACATAAAGATTTAACATCAAATGAACATTTCCCTTGTTTTATTTAATGACGTTTTACCACCCACTATGGTGAGAAACAGGATTAACCAATCAGAATCACGCGTTCCGCCCTGTAGATCTGAATTAATAAGGTAAGATGTATTACTGCTGTATTAGTAGCATGTTATTTGAACCATTTTCAGTGGAACTGTCATACATTTTCTACGTTATTAATATGGTAACGCTGGCTGATGGTAATTAGTCCTTCTACTACTCTCTGGCATTCACCCAAAATGCACGAGCGCATCACACTTATCATACTTAGCATTGTACAGATCACACACTGATTTTATTTAGCGTATTCCCTCCAGTCAGTCTTTCAATACTGGCCCCTTTACTTCACGTCCACCATAATCTTCAGAAAGCTAAACGTGGAAGAATCAATTCCCTAAAAAGAAACCCCTGTGGCTAGGGGATGAAGGTGATCACCAAGGTAGCTGTGTGCGTTGGACAGATGTGCGATGTGTACGAAGTGGTAAGCTGTTTGCATCAGCGGTCATGTTCAGGGGAAGTCTCAAACTTTATTGCTGAGATAAAGCAATGCTTCATCGACTATATATAATGCTAGCTAACGAACTTCTGTAACTAACTTCCGATCTCACTGCTCAGACCGATGTTACATCGCCACATGTGGAAGTGACCGAAAATAGAATGGGAAATGTCAGATTCTATGCAAGTTTTGCAGTCCATACTGTCATGAAAAAATTTCTGTGTCACAGATATGAGACAAGATTAGGGCCAATAAATTCACTGTACAAAACATCAGTGAGTGCACATTAAGACCCATTTATTCTGTTTTTTTTCCTTCTTATTAGTCTCTCAATTGTATCTTAAAGCCTCTTTGTTAGACCAGCATTTGCTTTAATAACCACTTCCTACTCACTCAAAGGCCAATTTTTATGGCTTTTGCTAAACGTCAGGAAAACAGTGATTAGCGCTCTCGCTGAAGATTAGACGGGGCAGCACAGCCTAATGATTTGATTTCAGCTAAAAGAATCTAAAATCCCACAAAGGATCATTAAGTGTGATTTATGCAGTGCTACGTTATCACGCATACGCGTTTAAAAAATGTATGCTGCTTTCGACTTTCGGCTTAAATGAGTCAGAATTACATCATGGAAAAAAATGAATGACTCCATGTTGCTCTTTTGTTAGCAACAAGCTAGCCAGGTAACTGGGATGAGTGCTGTATATTTTACTCCAAAAAACAGCGAACTGTATAGTCATTGTTATATATTTTAACAAGCTAATATGTCTGTATGTTGATGGAATGCAACTATTTGTACATACAGTATAACTCATTTAAAAATGAAGAACTGCTACTTTGTTTACTCTTGATGCTGTGAACAGCCACGTTGATGTGATGTCATGTGATGAACTGGGGGTTGAGGAGACCATCGAGTAGGAATTCTGAATTGAAGGGGCATTTTCTTTGGCTTGTATAGTCAGAGTTTGGAAAATCAGAGTTGCCAGCTTTAGTCGAAAGATTGTTCACAGAGCTAGCCCATTCTATATGTTTCTAAATCCAGCATCTATGTAAATTTCAAATTTAAAAAAACATTCTGGCTTTAGTCGTTCTTTGGAGAAGATAGGAGAAAACACGCGTCTTTGATATGGCACATGTGAGGGCTCATTCTATTGGCTGCGCTATGAAAAGGTCAAAGCTGAATTTGAGTGAGCTTTGAGCGCAGCACCAAGGCATCAAATCCAATCGTCTTGCTCCACACTGAAACAATGGCTTCGCTGATGCAAAGCGGATTGGCTGCTCGTTATCTGTAGCTGGATTTAGACGCCTCAAGAAAAATCTCCCTGAGACGACATGAGGAAGAAACCTTGACAGGAACCAGACTCATTACCCTCCCGTAGTGGTGTACTGTTGAGTCAGCCAGTACTGAGTGTGTTGAAGCGATGTTTGCTATGAGCAAATTCTTTATGATTACAGCAGCAGCGCTCAGGTAAAAATCTACAGTATCCAGGCGAGAAGAAAAGGCGAGACTTGGGCATACACTGTTTTGGCGGAAGTGCAATCTTTAGAGTATCACTGTGGTAGATCATGCACAGCTATATTTCAACAGTCTTTAGGGTATCCTTATGAAATGATCTCCAAGAATCTTAAGTGTATCCGTATGGAATCATCCACAATAATCTTTACAGTATCCATGTGGGTTCGTCCAAAATAATCTTAAGTGTATCTCCATGGAGTTATCCACAACCAACGATCTTTAAGATGTGCATGCGAGGCCATCCGCAGCAGCAGAGCGTGAGTCTTTTACCACAGCAGTAAAAGTGTGTCAGGATCAGGCACTGACATCACATCAGGCACCAGGAGTATACGTATCGCTCGACAGAAAACGATAGAGAGAAGAGATCATCATGTGGTACACTGGTTTAAAAGGTTGTACATTATGATCAAGTGGGGACTCTGGCGGGTCTAGGTATTACAGCTTAACACCAGATAAAGGAAATTCAACTGAGCAACCGAGCACTTCCTTTTTGAGTTTTCTGAAATGCTTTGACTCATTTGGCCATTACACATGCTGAGGATAAGTCGTTATGCACAGCTGGATTGAGAGTGTAGTGATTAAATGGGGGCAGAATTTGTGAAAGGTTGTGGGAGGCAAAGCCTCACATGCAGTGATACAGAGGATGTGCAAGGGGGGAGAAAATCAGTAGCACAGGTGCCTGGGACAAGCGGATTATGTATGTGGGCTGTTGGCAGCTCAGTGAGCTAGCAGTCACCGGTGGCTTTTTTTTTTTTCTTCCCTCCCTCTTTGAGCAGCCAGAGAAAGAAAACCCCCTTCTAGATATTGACTTTGACATAATACTTCTTTATTAGTTATAAACAATGATGTAACCTATGAGACGGCTCTAAATATTTGGAAGGATAACACATTGCTGTAAATGCTCAAGCTAAGTGATTACATGTCAATCATCAAAGCAAACATTTCATAGTATTCAAATACTTTCTCTTTCACACTAGTCGTTGGCTGGAGCGTTTTTTTTTTTGTTTGTTTTTTTTTCACGCTAATATTTAAATTTTAAAAAGTGGCTCACGTGGCATCCACGCTGTAACCATAACAACACCACTGCCTAGATGACACAAGTAACTGAGTAGAAGATATTATTCATTAAAATAAGCAAAGATGAGGCAGCTTGCTTGAGACTGGGCTGGAAAGAAAGAAAATTAAAAGGAATGATGGCGTTCATTTGTGTTCCTTCTTTCGCAGTCCAATTCCTGTTTGAACACTTTTTAGGCTGTATTTCATTTCATAAATGTCTTGTTGCTGAGGGGAACATCAACTTTCTCCAGTTACTGCAGCTAAAAAGAGCAATTCTCTGATTGTACATTTATTTTCAATTTTTTCAATTAATTATTTATTTGTTTGTTTGTTTTTTGCGGCTGATGACAGACCCCAGGACAGTTACAGAGACTGTTTTTATCTCAGAGCATCTATCAGTGATAGCGATCAGGATGCAAACAAATACAATTAACAGAAGGCCTCGCGTGCACACACACACACACACACACACACACACACACACACACACACATACACACATACACACACACACACACATACACATGCAGCATAAGCTGATATTACTATAAGAAGCTACACTGGACACTCTCATAATTCTGGCACCACATCTTAATTTTTTAATCTGCTTTGCCCATCTGTTGTTTTTATCCAGATTGTGTATTTCAGCTGCTTGGGTCAGGAACATGTGAGCACGTGTGTGTGTGTGTGTGTGATGCCATACTTGAATGATCCCACAAGATTTTGAAGGGAGGAATTAAGCACTTTTAATTTACATCATCTCTCTACCTCGTATCTCCTTTATTGATTCATTCACACTGCCGTCAGAATGCCCATAGTGGTGTAGCAGTAAGTAGATTGGGCATAAATTAAGTTTTATTTTTGTGTTTTTAAAACTTTTGCAGTCAACGCCACTCTGAAGCCTATAGTCACAGGTCACATGGTGTGCCATTGTGCTCTTTCAGCGATTGCTGCTTGAGGCTTTAAGGATTACTAATTTGATTTCACAGAATACAAATGGAAATTATATTCACACTCACAACTTCCTGTTCTTCTACCATTCTACCACTGATCTTAAGAATAGAAGTAAACGAATCCCCTTTGCATGTTGCAGGCCAGCTCTTTGTTTGTCAAAGGAAAGCACGTTTCCATGTAAGAGAAAGAAAAAAAAAAGCAGAAGTACAACACTGAGATCTGGAAGCAGCAGGGAGAGAGCATGCATGAAGCGGTTGTGGAAAGCCGAGATGAATTTGATACTGCCTCTTCTCCTTTACTGCAGTTTAGCCCAAAATCGTGCATGCTTGTGAGGGACAAGAGTCATACAACAGGTGTGTTGATGCAGGGGAACACTGAAGCTGTGCAGTAGTGTGGGCTGGGAGCATGAAGCATTTGCATGAATTAGCAT